CAACCAAGCAATTTTGGCACGTTGATTCGCGGCACAATTCTCATCCCAACATGCATTTTGATACGCAATCCGAATATGACCCAACTCTTGGCCTAGCTCAACATTAGAAGGATCATTATCAACATCCATCTGGATACGATCAAGTTCAGTCTTCAAAAAGGCAACACGCTTACCAAGGTTGCCATAMGAATGACGAAGTTTCCGAAGAGGACTCTTYAGCGCTTTTAAATGAGAAGTCACTCGAAACATAAAAGTACCCTCGATATTTTTTTCCCATTCCTCCTTTACAACTTGAAGAAAACCTGGATGTTCAGTCAAGAAATTGTCAAATTTAAACCCATTTCTTTTTTTCCAAGTGCCGCATCTAAAAGAAACCGTCACTGGAGCATGATCCGAAAGACCCGGAGGATGAAAATGAACACTAGCATCATGAAAAACAGACGTGAATTCAACATTGCCCATAGCTCTATCCAATTTCCGCATGATACCTCCCAAAGAATTCGGTTTTTGGTTCCACGTAAAATGGACTCCCGTATAATGTAAATCAAATAAATCCACATCCTCTACAAATGCAAAAAAGTCAGCCATATCCAAATTACGACGAGAGGACCTTCCGAACCCATCATGAGGGAATAACATGGTGTTAAAATCCCCCAATACAACCCACGGGGAAGAACCAATGAGTACTTTAAATTTTCACAGCCCCGACCATAAAGCACGACGGGCATTACAAACATTAGCCCCATATACAAAAGAAGCGAAAATATAATGTTCACTACCCCGAACAAGCACCTTACAATTTAAAATTTGATTATGAGCCTCTAAAACCATGACATCTAAAAATCGAGCATCCCAAGCAAGGGTTATACGAGTACCATAATCACTCATGTTTTGATTAGAAACCCAATTCCACTGACCGAAAGAGTTATAGCAAACACTTTTAAGAGAATCCTTAGAAACATGAGATTCGACAATGGAACATAAACACACATCATTACAATGAATAAAATTTCATACCTCTTTTTGTTTAACCGGAGAATTAAGCCCCCGGATATTCCATGAAGCAAATTTCATCATGAAGAAGGGTTTATCCTTGCTCCCTATTCTTCCGATTATCCCCCTGAACATCAGTCAGATCATTGACCACCTCATCAAGAGAGTCCAGCCGAGAAGTCTCTTCCCCTAACGTCTCAAGCACCCCAAACCGATTAGAATCAACATTATTTAGCACAACCCCTCGTCTCGGCAACCGAAAATTTTTAATCACAGAAGAAATAAGTGGGGTAGGAGTAGACATAGTATGGTGCGAAGACTTAGAAGATGAAGATGAAGGCCCATAATTAGTCTTACCTGATTCACCCAACGCATCCCTCCCCGTTGGCAAAGAAGGATCCATCAACTCACCATTATTAGAAACCATAGAATCTTCTATTTCCCTTTCTTGACTTACAACATTCACTCCCAAGGACGCTTCAAGAGGGTTTGAGTCCTTTCTTCCATTATCCGATTTACCATTAGAATGATCGGCTTTATTTCCACCTTTAACCCGCCATTGTTTTTTCGCCACTCTAGTAAACCCATCAGCATCTTTACGGCCATCAATTTGTTTACCTTTATTCAAACTAGCTGCTTTAACACACGACGAGAGTTTGTGACCAAAAATTTGACAATGGGAACATTGAATCGGTTCCCATAAGTATTCTACTTGAATTTGCACACTTTCGGGTTCTCCACCATTTATGTTTGGGATTTCAACATCAATTTTCCGTTTTAGGTCACCCACAGCCCAAACCTCAACAAGAACTTCAGCAAAACCAGGCCGGCCCCAAGCTTTTTCACACATTGAAGCAGTGCACGAATCCATTTGCTTTGGTATACCCAGAACACTCGCAATACGACTAACTCCTTTATTAAACACAACTAAAGGAATATTATGGAGTTTCACCCATAATGGACAGGAGGAATGTTCTGGTTTTTTTAATCCCTTGGACGGATCCCAACGATGGACAAATAAAAAAATACCTCTGATCATCAACGGGCCAGCCTCAATCACTTGATCACATCCACCAACGTCATTAAATTTAAAGAAAAAAATACCATTCTCATTAAGCATCGCATCCAAAAATCCAAATTTACCCCACGCCGTTTTAACAAATTTTGTCACAAGAGGAAAAGGGATACGAGGTCCCAGGAAATAGCCATATAAAACGGAGTTATAGGCTTTGGCAGCTTCCTTCGCCATTTCAATAGGGATAGAGACATGAGCCTGTTTTTTGTCCGCAAGAGGATAAAAATTCAGATCAGTAGCCACAGAACGGCCAACTACTTTAGCAAAATTCAGACTAGTGCGTTCACCATTTCCCAAAACATTACTTTGATCCACAGAAGTAAGCCTTTCAAAAACCGAAACCCTAATGGGGTCAGTGGGAGGATTATCATCACCCATTATACCAGTTAAGAAACCGTGGTGTTGAAGTTTCTTCTAAATACCCGAGTGAATTAGACGAAGACCCCGTTAAGAGGTGCTGAATAATCACTAGGAATACTATCAGAGAACAACGAAGACCACAGAAACACTTAACCAGCACAAGAGGGAATTAAATCAAGACCACAATCAAACACACAGTAGCAAAACTTACTGTAGCGAGAAAAACCAGCAGCAAAAGCAGAAAAAAAGGGAGTAAAACGCACCCAAGATAATAACCAGCAGTAAAATGAACCAATGTACAAACCTCAACCAGCAACAGCAGCAAACAGGAAGAAGAGACAGCAGCAAGAGCAGATTAAAAGCCAACAACCTGCACACTATATGACCAACGCGAACTGCACCGAACGAAACAGCCCGATAGTATCCTCAACAAAATGCCCTCAAAATCACAGCAGCCAAACAGAAAAAACTGGACGCTTGGCACAACCAATCGTTCACATAAAATCACAACTAGGACTGCAGATTCTATATGGTAACAACAGATTAAGAGCGAGCCAAACCACCGTCACAAACAATCAATCAGAACCCAATCTTTTCAAAAGGAGTGCAAAACTCAGCACCACGACGACCGTTACAAAAGAAAGAAAACAGCGGCAATGAAACAGTCACCAGAAACCCTAATTCGAACGCCAAACCCTAGCCGCACTACACCTTGGTCGATCCAGAAACCAAACCAGATGAAGACGAACACAACCAAACGCAGCGAGAAGGATCGAAACCAAACAGAAAAACGTACCAGCAAGAAAGCAAAAGAAGAAACGAAACCCTAGTATAAGCGGCCGTAGAAAGCCGCTAGGGTAATGACGAGAGAAAACCGATCAGTAACAAGCAAAAGAAACACATGCAATCATCGAAAATCGAAACCTGAACCAGCCACCTCCATTCATCTCCGAGAACGCAACCCTAGAGAGAAAAAGTCAACGAGCGGTCAACACACTTTGATCTTGTAGGCCAAGGATTCGAAGATTGATTATGGGGACCATTTGGTGTTCGTGGATATTATGGGCCTATTTCTCCTTAATAAGTCCAAGTGGGTCAAAATGATACTAACTAGCTCATAATTTGTCTGATTAGACCCTAATGGGACTAATTGGACGATTTCTCCAAAAGGAGGCTAATTGGGACAAGATGACACAAAATCAGTCATAATTAGTCTAACAAGAGGGTAAAGTGAGTAATCGATGCAGAATGGGTCTTAAGGGTCCTAAATAGGTCCATGTGGCCTTAGTAGGTATAATAGGCCTATTTCTTTTAAACGAGTCATTTGGGCCAAAATGACACTAAGTGGATCATCATTAATCTGATTAGACCCTAATGGTTTTAATAGGGCCATTGTTTCCATAGGGAGTCTAATTGACTCGAAAGGACACTAATTGGGTCATATCTAGTTTGATCAGACCTTAATGGGTATAATGGGGTAATACCTGTATTTGAGTCCAATTGAGTTATAATGATACAAAATGGGTCAAAATTAGTCTTATCAGTCGTTAATAGGAGTAAATGAAGTAGAATGGATCTTAATGGGTCCATTTGCTGTTAGTAGATTTATTGAACTTATTTCTCTTTAAAAAAGTCGAATTAGGTCAAAATGTCACTAAGTAGGTCATAATTTCTCTCATTAGACCCTAATGGGATTAATTGACCCATTTATCCCAAAGGAGTCTAATTGGGTCAAGATGACAGTAAATGGGTCATAAATAGTATAGTTTTCTTCAACTTGAGTCTAATTGAGTCATAATGGTACTAAATGGGTCATAGTTATTCAAATCAGAAGTTAATGGGAGTATCTGAGGTAGATTGGGTCTTAATGGTCCATAACGGGTCCATTTGTTTTTAGTGGATAAAACGGCCTATTCCTCCATAATAAGTCCAATTGGGTGAAAATGACACTAACAAGGTCCCTTTCTCCAAAAGGAGTCTAATTGGATGATTTTGACACTAAATGGATCATCATTAATATGTTTACACCCTGATGGGTTTAGTGTGCCCATTTCTCCACGAGGAGTCTAATTGACTCAAAATAACACTAATTAGGTCATATCTAGTTTGATCAGACCTTACTCGGTATAATGGGCTTATTTCATCTATTTGAGTCTAATTGAGGTATAATGGTACTACTGAAAGGGGAAGAGTTTCCCCAGGCAATTTTATAAAGACATTAAAAAACATCACCAATACAAAAGTAATCAGCAAGAAAAACTACGGCAACTTTGACTCACAAACCAAGTCATAAGGAGCCAAAAATGACAAAGGGAAATACACCAAAACAAAACTACACCATACGCCAAAAAACAAAAGGCAAGAAAAACCCATAAGATCCAAAACTGAGAAGG